AGTTTATTATACTTTTCATACGAAACCACAACTAATGTCATATACGGGTCAAGAAGTGAATCGCCACTCAACACAGCATTTACTATATGTATGGCCAAGGAATCAATAATACGAAAAGAATTTTTGCGTAAATATAATCTAAGTGAAAAACGATTGGGAAAACATCTAGCCGAGTTCAATCGCCAACCTATTGGCCGACAATTTAACATGCTCAATAAATGTCATATTTGTGTCATTACATCTGTGTCAAAAAGATCGTGGCTTTGTTGTTCTTTGTAGATCTAATTGTACGATCAATTAGCAAATTATATTACTGTTTCACCATATCATTGGATAACTATAAACATACAATTACTAATGACATGAGCCCTATATTGCCCACACACGTACAATTCTACGCCAAACAACTTGGTAAAGATTGTAGAATTAAAACGTTATCTATGCAAGTGCATAATAAAAATGAGTTGGTATATTTGCCGCAATGCAACGCGATCACAAACATAATTACATTAAAAATTACTTGCAATACGTACAAAACGTGGTGAAATATGCCCAGGGTAATTTATGGCACGACACAACGTCGACACCACTCTCACTACGTTATAATAACTACGGTTTACAGACATGTGTTGTCCGGTGCCTAAAGTCAGATTATGCTAGTATTAGCACAAAATATTATTCTCCAGATATACAGTAATATGTAACTAATAATGCATCTTATAATTATTATTTTACCTGTTCATATTCCCACTTATTTGACCAATGTAAACAAAAGTGTCATAGTAGTATTGACTATGTAAAATATGTTTACCAAGTAGATATTTTTAATACGACAGATCATTGTGGAAATATACCCGGATATCATTGTTTGCTGAGAGTATTGCTATCTTCAGAGCCGCCGACTGTTTACGAGATATCACTGAAAATGTCTGCCGAAGAATACATTAGTCTAACGGTGAGTGTTATTAGTCTATGGTTTGGATTCTCTATCATTGCGTTCACCGAATATATAAAAAAAAATATTTTCAAAATTTAATTATTTATATTATATGAATAAAATTATTACGTGGACTAACAATCAAATATTTAAAATTGTAAATGTTACATTTAATAGTAATATTGTTAACACCAGAGTGCGTATACTTAAATTTAATCGGTTATTTAAATCACAAAATATTGTCACAGTTAATGATAATATTAGATTTTGAATGAGCATGGCACTGTGATAACAAAATATCTCTATTAACTTATAATACTACTAAAAGGAGTCCATTTTCACGCGATTTAATTAATCCCGACGGGAGTGATATAGTGATGATCAGAACAACGAGGAGACTTCAAAACTTGCTTCAAAACATGCAAATGGCCATAAACACCGGGGTTATGGACATATCTGTAACCGCAGGCATAGGGCTCAATGCATTGAAAACTTGCTTTTTTACATGAGTATAATGTCATTTATGAGTTTAATTTTTAATTACGATTCATATATGAAGAATGTGGTTTATAGAATTGTTATGCTACCCCTCCACCGACCCCTTCTCCGCTCTATTGGAAATAACATGGGATTACAGCATAAGTCTATGACTATACTTTAACATAGGTAATGCTAAGTCTATGGCAATGCTAATCCTATAAACAATAATAAGCCTATGGGACTAATGCTAATCCTATGGACTTATGTTATGTCTATAGACAATGCTAAATCTATAGGGAGTGCTAATCCTTTGTTATCTTATTAAATATATAGATAATGCATCAATTATTTGAGCATCACCCGAATCGTGGTTAACGTATAGCATCGCTGACTGATCCTTGTTTTAATTAAATACTAATAGAATAAATACAATAATATCGCATAATATAATTTTTGTCATTAAAAATAATTTTATGAAACCACGGTTTATAATCAATACTTTACTATTTTACAATAATGTGTTTGTGTTATGCATAGACTGACCAGATGTTCAGAAATGGTCTGGATTGTCCCGAAATTAGATGGCCTGTCCAGAATTTTGCGAATATAAACCATTAAGTATTGGAGGCGGCCAGGATAATCAAGCTCAAATTAGTAAAATGTCCAAGAATCCAGGATTATCGGGCTGATTTTTGTCCAAAATCCAGGATTATTGTAAACTCATCTGGTCAGTCTAGTTATGCAATATGTAAATTGTAAGATATCTTGTTTATTATAACATACTGGATATTTAAATAATGAATATTCTGTATTTGAAAAATGTGATTATTATTATAATTTATTATTAATACATTATTCATTATTAATGGCGTATAGCATTTAATCTAAATATATATTTATTCAATACATAACAAATTCATGTAACATTCAAATAAAATGCAACCTATTTGTTAAAATATAGCATATAAATTACAGTATTCATATTGTATACATAAAATATGTATGTATAATAAAATAAATGTTGTATTTGGCATTTTAATAAATTTAATGTAAATGCTATAATAAAATTGTAACTTTAAAATTCAAATTATCGTAAATAAAAAATGTTGCCTTATACTTTATCTTTGATAATAAAGAATTCAATACTTTACGGCATACTAATGTCCGGATTTGCATATCAAACCTATCAAATCTGTGAAATATACTTATCATACGAAACCACAACTAATGTCAAGTTTAGCGATGAGTATAGTCTACCAGCGCTAACATTATGCATGAACTCCGAAAAACTAATACGACCTGAATTTAAATCTAAATATAATAATAATAATAATACATTTATACCGGAGATATTTGCCAACCAATCTGTAAATGACCAGTTGGACCAACTCATTTACATTAATGATTTTGTTGAATGCTATAGTTATATTAAAAACAGCCATGATAATTGCGATTACGTAGTACCGTATCGCCGGTCCATTGCTTTGTTGGGTACGACTTGTATTACAGTATTATCCCAATGGAAGGGTGAGTCGGATACACGTTATACGGATAACTTTAGCAACATTAAACATTCAAACGCCATTTGGTTAATATTTAACAATAAATCTTTGATTGAAAGTCTTACTATTAAAGTGCATTCGCGAAGTGAACGTATACGAAATCCTTACCACATTGGGTGGTATTTTGATACCGATAAAAACAATTATTTACAAATATTATACCGGAAAGAAACCGTGAAATTAAATCATATGTTAAGTACAGATAAATGTTTGCCGAGTGAGACAAATGATGAATGCGTAATGAAATGCGTTAAACTAGAATATGACAATCATGGACAAATATCACGATTAATTTTACACTACGACGACGAAGGTGTTGTTATTTGGAACTATGTTGATGTTAAAGAATCGTGGACAAACGGTCCTAGTTTGTTTGATAAACGCAAATTAAATTGCAAACGTGAATGCAATAAAAGAACAGAGTGTGTAAAACAATATTATGCACTTCAATACGAGGCCAATAATATTACAGATGAGTTTCACGATAATAAAGTCAATATTGTATTACATTTCCCGCGAGAACCTAATAAGTTATATGAGGTATCATTAAAACTATCATTCATAGAGTGTGTGCTGTTTATCGGATCGCTGTTTGGTTTATGGTTTGGATTATCAGTTTCGATGTCTATTAATTCCATTATACAATTATTTGCCAAATTTCAAACATTATTTTATAATAATCGTCAAAATATATTACTTAATATAACACATAATTGGCAATTAATATGTAGTCATTTACATACACCACGAAGTTTTCGTCGCGTACATCATAGACAGCAATCACCACATATTATTGTCAATAGTATTGCATAAACATTATGGTCAAAAGAATTTACATGAGTAATTTCATTCACCAGAATTGTAATGCATTGAGCTCTATGCATACGGTTACAGATATGTCCATAACTCCGGTGTTTGTGGCCTTTTGCATGTTTTGAAGCAAGTTTTGAAGTCTCCTCGTTGTTATGGTCATCACCACATCACTCCCGTCGGGTTTTTAAGCTATTTATTTCTTATATCTAATAGTGTAGCTCCACCTTTGTAAATTTGTTTATGGAATTTTTATTTGCAATATTAATTTTAATATAATTATTGTTTTATGTGATGCAAAACAATGTCCATTTATCTATTATTTAACATTATATAAAGTAAAATAACAAAATTGTAAATTTTTTATTTGTGTTAAATAGGTTAAATAATAATTTTAAGAAATAATCAACTGAGGATTCACTGAAGATTGAGCATAATGTTTAATTTCAGTAGCAATTTCATGATTTCATATTCAATTGTAGATCTTTCTAGATTCTAAATTCTAGAACTCACATAAATAATAATAAATAGTATAAACAGATAACAATAATATAATGTTAAGACGATTAAAAAGCTCAAATATTTTAGTAAACTATAAATTATAATTTATAATACAATATTCGTCTAATTGAGTTGTTTTATAAAACTATTAATTTGTGTTCAATTTCATGAAAAAATAATTTTATATCAAATGTCAGCGAATGACCATGATTACGGTGGTTAAATATTACATCATTTTATTTTAGAATAAATTTATTGATTGTGTTGTGTATGTGATTGAGACACAATAAATATATATTTTCTATATTTTTTTATTACTAATGAATATATTTTAATTGATTTGTGCTTTAGGTGTCCCTTAGTTATTGTTGCCATTTATTTAGCAAGACAATGACTAATTAAAGTATTATCGCACTTTATTGCGGTCTTTCAAAGAACCGTCATTAATTTATTACTAAACAGACCCCCACTTGTGTTTTTATCAACATGTATAGTCGTAAAACAATTATCAAGGTACTTTAGGTACTTATGCAGGTATATAAACAGGAACAAAAAAGCTGATTGTTTAACCAAGTGTTAATTACTTTTAAAAAACATTTTCAATAATTACAATTTCATAAAAGTCAACTTAATAATAATGTATTTACAAGCCGTTGTGTTATGTTTAATGGTTCAATTAATAGTATCCAGCCCAATTATTCAGCAGAATAATAACAGCAACATTACTGATGCGGTAAATATTCTATTTACGTGCTTTTACACTAAACGTGCTGTATTTAATTATATTATTCATTTTAATAAATAAACAACATGATTAATTAATTATATCATTTATATAAAATATTCATTAATTTTTAATCAATAAATAAATATTGAAATAACATTTAACAATTAAATAACATTTAAATCTAACAAGGGTCAGCACATACTTACCAGAATTAACCAAGCGCGAAATTCGAAAGTAGAACTAGTAATGACGACGAACCTCAACGAAACTGAAACCAACGAGATAAGCAAGAAAATTTTCGACAATTTTTTAACGGCCACGGTCAATTTTAAAAATCAAACATGCTTGACCCTCGCCGAACTAAGCATGCGCGATTGGAATGAAAAGAATTGTTACCAGGTATTGACCTTGTACCTTCAGGATGACCTGCACGCTGAAGTGTTGATCGGCGAGTTTGCGTTTTCCGATATAGGCTTTCACGCGTTAGACATAACTAGTAAATCTATACAAATGACAATTGGTCCTATTTTTATTGAGGCCATAGTGGGGCATAAATAAATTGTACATGCTCGTTTGCCCTTTGTATGCATAATGTGTAATTCAATTACTCTAATGTAATTGTTTTTGCTCGTAAAATGTATTATGAATTTAGTATAATTTAAAAACTATATAAATTGTAGTTTTACGAAATAATATTACTAATAAAAATTTTATTTAAATCTTGATCTTTATTAAATTAATAAATTTTAATTATTATAAATTAATATATCATTTAATGATGGTGGTCAATACTACTAAATTGTATTCTTAAATATTATAATTAAATGCTAAAAATTATATACAGCATTAATAGTTTAATAAGTAATTAAGTAGATATAAATAGAGTGAAACTAAAAAACCATTTAGAGTGATCCAGATATAATCAGATTAGACCACTTGACTAAAAGATTATTATTATCTTATCAATGTACTCTACCTAATATGTTACATAATGAAGTGTTAATCCCTCTCTCTC